CTGATGAAGGGTACTGCTGGTACCACCAGAAGTACGGCGCGGAGGCCCACCGCTGCAGACCGCCGTGCTCCTGGTCGGGAAACTAGCCCGCCTGTCCGCGCTAGCGCCAGCGGAGACGGGCCGGCCAACACTGGCGCCCCTCTTCTTTGTCACCGACCTTGCCCGGAACTGGCGGTTCCTCGTCGACACCGGCGCACAGGTGAGTGTCGTCCCACCACGAGTCGTGGCCGACGGCACCACTGTGCAGCCGCCCGACGCGCCTCGACTGGAAGCAGCCAACGGCACAGAGATCAAGCTCCATGGCGTTATTTCGACTTCGGTGCGTTTCGGAACAGTGGACTACCCGTGGACATTCATGGTCGCCGACGTGTCGATGCCGATCTTGGGAGCGGACTTTCTCGCCCATCATCGTCTGCTGGTGGACATGCGCCGTCAGCTCCTCCAGGCTGAACACGGCACAACGTGTGCCGTGGGCACCCCAGCCGACATCGGCTCCGTCGGAGTGCGAATGTGCGCGGCGCCCACTCTCGCAGACTTGTTTAAAGAGTTCCCTCGAGTGACAGCCACATCTGCGCAGCTCCTGCCCGTGCGCCATAACGTCACTCACCACATCGTGACACGTGGACCTCCTCGTGTAGGGCACCCTCGGCGTTTGCCGCCCGACCGCCTCCGCATCGCCCGTCAGGAGTTCGACAAGCTGATCAGCCTCGGGGTCGCCCGCCCATCCAAGAGCAGCTGGGCGTCGCCCCTCCACATGGAGCCTAAGAAGGAGCCCGGACAGTGGCGCCCGTGCGGCGACTACCGCGCCCTGAACGCCGCCACCGTCCCGGACCGGTATCCCATACCGTTCCTGCAGGACTTCTCCGCGAACCTGCACGGCTGTACCATCTTCTCGAAGATCGACCTCGTCCGCGCGTACCATCAGATCCCGGTCGAACCCGCTGACATCCCGAAGACGGCCATCGTCACACCGTTCGGGCTATTCGAGATGCAGCGGATGAGCTTCGGTCTTCGCAACGCCAGTCAGACATTCCAGCGCTTCATAGACGAGGTGATGCGCGGGCTGACGTGCTGCTACGTGTACATCGACGACATCCTCATCGCCAGCACGTCCGTCGAGCAGCACCGCCGTCACCTCCGTCAGGTACTGGAACGTCTCGACAAGTTCGGCGTCACGATCAACCCAAAGAAGTGCGTGCTGGGCGTCAACCGCATCAGCTTCCTCGGTCACGATGTGTCCCCGGACGGCATCGCCCCGCTGCCGGAGAAGGTCGCTGCAGTCCAGGAGTTTCCGCAGCCGACCACGCAACGCCAACTGCGTAGGTTCATCGGCCTGGTGACCTACTATCACCGGTTCCTGCCTGGTGCTGCCGGCCTCCTCCGACCGCTTCACCACCTGCTGGACCAGAAACGCAAACGCGCGGCGCCGGTGGAGTGGACGCCAACCGCTGAGGACGCCTTCCAACGCGTGAAGGCTGCCCTGGCTCAGGCCACGCAGCTCGCGCACCCCACTCCCGGCGCAGCGCTGAGTCTGCAGGTCGATGCCTCTGACACCGGCGTCGGCGCTGTCCTGCAGCAACACTCGCACGGGACCTGGACGCCGCTGGCTTTCTTCTCGAAGTCACTCCAACCAGCAGAGACACGCTACAGCACCTTCGGCCGCGAACTGCTCGGGGCGTATCTGGCGGTCAAGCACTTCCGGCACACTCTGGAAGGCCGCCAGTTCGCCATCTTCACCGACCACAAGGCCCTCGTGTCGGCAGTCTCGTCCGGGTCAGCCAGCTACTCGCCGAGGGAGATCCGGCACCTGGACTTCATCTCCCAGTTCACCACCGACATCAGGCACGTGCCTGGGAAAGAAAACGCAGCTGCGGACGCTCTGAGTCGAACAGTGGCGATGCTCTCAGCACCGTGCCCGCCAGTCGACGACTTCGACGAGCTCGCAGCCTGCCAGCAAGAGGACGAAGAGCTGGCGCGCTTCCGCTCGACAGAGCACGGGCTCAAACTCAGAGACGCCCGGCTCCCCAGCGGCCGCACGCTGGTCATCGACGAGTCCCAGGGTGTACCGCGGCCGTGGATCCCGGCACCGCTCCGGCGCGCCTACTTCCGGCACGTGCACGATCTGGCCCACCCGGGAGTGCGCGCCACCGTCGACCTGGTCACGCGGCGTTTCGTGTGGCCGTCGGTGAAGAAGGACGCCGCACTCTGGGCGCGCACCTGCGTCCCGTGCCAGCGCACCAAAGTCCACCGGCACACGACAGCGCCGCCCGCCTCGTTCCCGCCACCTGCCGACAGGTTTCGACAAGTGCACGCCGACCTGGTCGGCCCGCTGCCGCCGTCGGAGGGCTACTCGTATCTTCTGACGGTGGTGGACCGGTACAGCCGCTGGCCGGAGGCGATCCCGCTGCGTGGCATCACGGCGCGCGAGGTCGCCCGAGCGCTGATCTCCGGCTGGATCTCTCGGTTCGGCGTCCCGGACGAGATCATCACCGACCGGGGCAGCCAATTCGAGTCGGCGCTCTGGGCTGAGCTGTCCACTCTCCTGGGCTGCGCGCGGCGCCGGACCACCGCGTACCACCCCCAGGCCAACGGGATGGTGGAGCGCCTGCACCGGCAGCTTAAGGCCGCGCTGCGCGCCGCCGCGCCCGCCCGCTGGACGGAGGCTCTTCCTTTGGCGCTGCTCGGAATCCGCTCGGCGCTCAAACAAGACCTGGGCTGCAGCACTGCCGAGCTGGTGTACGGAGCGCCGCTCCGCCTACCTGGTGAACTCATCACCCCGTCCGCCACCGCGCCTCCTACGCCGGAATCATTCGCCGCCGAGCTTCAGCGCACCATGGCGGCACTGCGCCCGACGGCACCACGACCAGCACCAAGCGCGCCGTCGTACGTGCCGCGCGCGCTGCACCACGCCTCGCACGTGTTCGTGCGCCACGACGCAGTGAAGCCGCCGCTTGCCCCGCGTTATGACGGACCATACAAGGTGCTACACAGATCGGCGAAGACGGTCACTGTGGACCGAGGAGGTCGTTCAGACGTTATCTCTATCGACCGAGTCAAACCGGCGCACTTGGAACGGCCCCCGCCTGCTCCAACTCCGACAGCATCGCCGTCTGCGGTCCAGGACACGGCGCGTTCCGCCGACTCGGCAACACCGGCCTCCGGCCCAGAGCTCCTCCTGCCAGTGCCTCGCGCACCGAGGCCGCCGCTTCCGCCACCGCGTGGCGACCTGCCGCTACAGCCGCCGCCTCCGCCCGCGCCCCCACCGCCGTGCCTACGGACGACCCGCTCCGGCCGTGCTGTACGGCCACCAACGCGTTTTCTTAACGTCACGTTCGCAGTGCCGTCTCTAGGGGGAGGGTGATGTAGTGCACCGCCGCACGTTCTCCGACGCGGCGCGGCACTACCGCCGCTGGCGACTGGCAAGCGCTCCGACGCGGGGCGGCGCCACCGTCGACCTCAACGTGGCGCTGCTGTCGCAGCTGACGCGAGGCGCAGGTTCAGCGATATCCGCCAGATGTCTCTGCTCCACTTGTTCATTTTCTATGTCCGATTTATTAATGTTTTAGAAATGTATGCTCGTGTGTATGTATCATAATGTTCATCGTCGTGTGGGCATTCACGCACTCTTCTAGAAAGTATCTCTCGCTCTGATATACGTTTTCTCACTGCTTTGTACTGTCCTTAACTTTGCCAAAACGAACTATGGTTTCATCGTTGTGTTCACTACATAGCTTGCTCATGCTGTTTCAAATACATTCGCTATCCTTGGCCGATCTAAGTGTTTGGGGGAGACGGCTCCACATCAGGGAACTTCCCAGCCCGTCGTTGTGTGGAATCCCAAGTTGCGAATCCCAAACACTGGAACGGCTTCATCCGGCTTAGAGCACGACTCGCCACGGCACCAGCCACATATGCAAGGCACACATCCTCAACGCAAGACACCTTTTTCGGGACGAGAAATAGAATATCTTTGCCTAGGGTGATCGTTGGGCTGTAAAAGCTCCTGATTTATGCTCGTCTCAGCCCAAGCTACGGAACTGCTATTCCAGTTCAAAACCCATGTTAAAAAGTGAACTATTTCCTTTAAAGGAACATTTTAGTATATGCCATTCTTGATAAAACTTCTTAGCCACGCAATACCAGCGCAAAATAAAGAGACACTGAAAACACGACCAATCACTCCGATTTACCATAGGAAAATACGTGGAAAATACATAGAAAATGTATGTCTCAACTGCGCCAAATATACAGACAGTTATATACCTACATGTGACGTCATGATTAGCCCGACCAATCAGAAGCAAGTTGTTTTCAGCCACAAATAATTAATTTCTGAACTAACTAGGCATTTTTATAACAAAGTGATTTTAAATTAAATCATTAAAAATTCTGAGCTTTTTTATTTTACCAAAACATACAGAGCATGCAGATAGGTCCCAACCCTATTCCGGCGTTGGCCGGAACGCTGGGAACGCTGGGAGAACGCTGGGAGAAGTGTGTGCAGGCGGGCGGCGGCTGGTTTGAGGCATAGGCTGCATTCAGAAATGTCTGATCTATAATTATCTGTGAAAGTTTGAAAGTGTTAAATAAAGAAATAAAGAAGTTATGACCGATTGTTCGTTACTTATTGAACGACCTAAAGAAACGTAAAAGTTTCCACCAGGCGAGTTTCTAATCGATTTCTACTGGTGTACTCAGACTGAACAGTGCTCAACCTAAAACGTAGCTCAGCAAGTACCTACGTAGGAGCGCATGACATAATGCAGATCCAGCCCGTCTCGCAGGTAACACTTGGTAATGTGGGCATTATCAACCAGCAACGGCACAACGCCACTGAGCGCTGACAATGCCAACAGAGATCCCCGACACCGTTAATTTCGACTGGTTGTCCGAGGGGCCCGGTTCAAGTAAGCACCAGCTGCTGGCTATATACGGTATCCATATGTATGTACCGCCCTGCCGTCCTGAGCCGTCCGCTGACCGTGCCGGCCGTGCGCCAGGTCTCCGCCGCTCGCTGGGTGCTGGCGCTGGCCGTGCTGGGGGCCGCGCGGGCGGCCGTGCCCGACCAGCAGCGCCTGGTGCGCCTGCTGCAGCGCGCCCTGGAGCAGCAGCTGGCCGCCGAGCCGCTCCAGTCCACCGCCAACGCCAACGACTACTTCGACCGCACCCTGGCCAACGCCCGCCACCTGGTGCTCGACAACGGCCTGGACCCGCTGCCGCTGCCCGATGAGAAGCTCGCCGTTCTCGGCACGGGCGTGGTGCTGCACGACGGCCACCTGGACGGGCTCTCGAACGTGCACCGCACCGGCGACGCCATCATGTCCTACGACGGCGAGTGGCTCGGCATCTCCGGACACATCGGCTTCAACGGATTCGGCGCCGGCTACTCGTGCAAGATCGAGGTGATCGGCATCGGCCCCGACGTCACCGCCACGGCCACCATCACCGAGACGAGCGTCTTCTTCAGCGCCAAGATCTCCTCGCAGACGCTGGCCATCGAGCTGGTCGACTTCAAAATCGAGCAGGTCGGCACGATTGACGTGGACATCACAGGACTGGGCATCTTCGACTGGTTGCTAGAGCCGCTCACCGAGGCCATCGTCAACCTGCTGGACGGCATCGTGGTCGACATCATCAACCTCATCCTGGAGCCGATGCTGCGCAGCTTCATCGAGTCCATCGACCTCATGGCCATCATCAAGGACCTGATCTAAGTCAGCCAAAATGAAACTGTCCATGTTTATCGGGAAATATTGTCCTGCTAGCAATAAAAACGAAACCAGTTTCGATGCATCTTGGAAAATAAATTGTTGTCGAATGTTCGTTTGAGCGCGAAGCGCACTTTACGTAATGAATGCTGTTGGAACAGTGCAAGACACCTACTGCCGGGTACTGACTATTATCATCATAGGCACACAATGTATGTAGGTCGTGACATGCCCACCCAATGCACAGTCCGACTCATTCGGTGACACTCCCAGCCGTTTGACCTACAGAGGTCAGCAAAGGTCACACGGCCAAAATTTGCACAGCAGTTTTTGGATTACCCAGTGAAGGTAGAGCGCTAAAAACGGCACAAAACGACTCGCAGGCATCTAATCTTATTTTTCCCTAGAAATTTTCATTGATGGCATGCTTTGATTTGGAATTCGGTCGATCCCTGTACTCGACAACCGCTGTGCGGTGTGGAAGTGCCTATTTTCGGCATAACCCGCAAATGACCTTAGGTCAACGCATGACCTTGGGAGGTCAAATTGCTGGTGGGAAATTGAGATTAGATGCCTGCGAGTTGCTTGTTGCCGTTTTTAGCGCTCTAGCTTCACTGGGTGACCACAAACTGCTGTGTAAATTCGAGCCGTGTGACCTTTGTTGGCCTCTGTAGGTCAAACCGGTCAAACGGCTGGGAGTGCCACCGACTGACTCAGACTGTGGATTGTGCATGTCACGGCCTACATCGTGTGTGCAAGTTTCAGCTCGATCTAAGGTGTTGGGGTTTAGGGGCGCCTCAACTCGGAAGGCTATATGGCACCGATCTGAGGTGTCCCGAATCTGGACTGAATCCGGGCTGGATCTGGCTGAATATGGGCTGTCTTGAACATCATGAGGACATCATCTTCACACTTGCTGCGAGATTGACTTTGATGTTACAACAGGCATCGCTGGTGTTTTCATCAGCTACACCACATAAGCAGTGGTTCATAAGATTGCAGTCTTTAGAGTTATGGGGCTAAATGTTCGGCCCTTTTAGGTTGAGAAGTTTTCCAAAGGTGGCATTTGACTCTTCTCGGAGGGAAAGCCAGGCGGCAAGTGTTGTTGGCATGCGAACCGATGGCCACATGGCTACTCTCTCCAACCACGGCCTCATTGACGCGCTGGACAGCCTCACATAGACACACAAGGACGGATGAAGGCTTCACTTGAAGATGTGGTAGGTCATGATGCTGCCGTTGCTGAACGGGCAATCGCCGTACGGTCTCCTACAAGCCAATGCGTCCATTTTTCTAAAGCAACTCTTTAATTTCACTCTAGCGATCCTACCAACGTTCACAGAGCATTGATCAGCAGGCAAACATGAACATTGAACACCGGCGCGGTTGATCATGATGCACGTCACTGCTTTTCGAGTTAGTATAATAGGTTCCAATTAACCAATCCTTCATATGTTTTACAAGCGAGAGGGCTTAACCGAACCGAATGCCGTGTCACAATAAGGTAAAAAAAAAAAACGCGGGCGAATCCGTTATCCCCCCCCCAAAAAAAATGAATGGCTGATTGATTTGGCAAGCATGTATTACACACTGACAAGTAGCATAACTGCCTAACACTGTAACGTAGGTATGCACATAGGTCAATTGTCAAAGCTGCCATTTCACAGTTGATACATTGAGGTCAGTGATGCCAAAAGTGGATTACAACAGAAATTGACGAATCAATCCCGATAGTTTAACTTAGCTTTCAAACAGGCATTTTTCATGCTGGTAGATAATAAAGGAATGGTTCATATATTCAAAATCATACACGAAAACAACGCTGAAGAGAAAACTATCACAGAACATGACTAGACGACGAGGTAAATAAATAAGTACGGGGCTTTAAATACACCTAATAAGCGATCACCGTGAAAGGAGACCTGTTTACGGAATGCGTAAGTTTTCCGTATCACTCCCAAAGTACGCACGTTTCGTCTATCCTGACAAGTCGGTGACATACCACGGTCATCTCACGAAAGCCACGGCCGTGATACGGCCATGACACGGTTATGGCACTGCAGAAGTCCCGACAGGCAGTCACTCCACCAGCGATAACGCCCGCCCAGATCGGTCGCCGTACCACGAATACTGACTGCGCCACCTGTCATAGCTCAATCAGCGTGCCTCGGTCAGCGATCTTGGCTCACTAAACAACCAGCCGTTGGTTCATGGGTTGTCAGCAGGCCTGATCTGTCAGCTCGACCGAGCCACTGGCCCGTCCTGCAGGACAGGCACGACGGCTCCCGTCACGTCAATCCCACACCGGGTAAAGGCCTGGCTACACTATGCGTTTTCTTCGTGCGTTTTTTGCGTGTTTGCGTGTTTTGCGTGATATCGTTCTAGAAAAAAGAACGATATTACGTTTTTGTGATGTTTTTTCACCTTAAATTTTAGTTACATAAGAGTTATATTAGCTTTTGTGTATAACCAAAGTAAAAATTATATTGTTTATAACCTTTTTCCTAGAACGATATTACGCAAAACACGCAAACCTGCAAAAACGCACGCAGAAAACGCATAGTGTAGCCAGGCCTTAAGGCGGCCGGTCACGTGATCTAGTCGCCGGGTTTGGCGGCCGGTGGTTACAGTCAGGTAGCCGACCACGTTCTCCCCTCACCAGGTCAGGCAACCGGTCACGTGATCTGGTCGCCAATGCAGGTGTTAGGTCATGCGGGCTGGTTGACGAGTCACGGGGCCGGTGTTGTGATTTAGTCGCCGGTGCAGGACACCAGTCACGTGATCCGCTGCCCGGGTCAGGCGGCCGGTCACGTGGCCTGGTCGCCGGCCCGCAGCTGGTCCAGTGCCTGTCTGTAGAGCCGCTCCAGCTCTGCGGGCAGCTCGCCGGAGTCAGCGTCGCCGGGCGGCGCCGTCTGCGACTCCGAGCGGACCGGACTGCCCACCACCTGGACGGCCGGCTGTGCCGCGGGCCGCCGCGGGCTGCCCTGGCCCGGAGCGGGCGGTGCGCGCGGGCTGCCCGGCTCACTGTCCGCCTGGGACCGCGCCGGGCTGGCGGGCGCGCCGTCCGCCGCCCCGCCGTCCCGCTCCGGACCAGTCGGCGCCGGCCGCCGCAGACAGCGCACGTAGCGGTCCAGCTCCTGGATGGAGAGGATCTCCTCGTCCTCATCGTCCTCGTACTGCGGCCGCCGCTGGGGCCGGCCCGGGGAGCGTCCCGGGGTCGCCGGGCCCGCGGACCGGCCGCCGCTCTGGCCCGGACTCTGGTGCGGCGGCTGGCGGGTCGGCCGGTCGCCGCTCTGGCCCGGACTAGACTGGTGCGGCGGCTGGCGGGTCGGCCGGTCGCCGCTCTGTCCCGGACTCTGGTGCGGCGGCTGGCGGGTCGGCCGGTCGCCGCTCTGGCCCGGACTAGACTGGTGCGGCGGCTGGCGGGTCAGTCGGACCGGCGGACTGTGCCGCTCTGCGCCGTTGGTGGGAGGAGCAGCGGCGGCCGCTCCCGCCCGAGCCGGGGACGGCGGAGCGCTGCCGTCGGCCCGGGGACTGGCGGCGCTGTCCGCGCCGTTGGGAGCGACCTCCGGGTCATCATCGGCCAGCAGCTGTTCACTCTCTCGGTCTATGTGTGTAGCAGAGTAGCCTGAAACCGACACCAGTCAACAGCGTCCCCACGAGGAAAACGGACACACATTACACTCCAGCAGCCTCGCCGGGGCGGGGTGGACCGTCGGGCCGTCCCGCTGCGCACTCACCTGCCATGAGATCAGCTGACGGCTGGATGGAGAGCCCGTGTCGGGCTGCCTGCTGCCTCAGCGCCGCACACTGCTCGGCCAGCAGCCTGTCCAACAGCCAAGACGTCAGATAGAGAGCTGAGTCCCGCGAGGCATGAAGTGCCCTTAAATGTAGGACACACCACAGACCTCTGTAAGCCACAGACCTCACAGTGTACAGAGGTCTGTGGACACACCCACTCTATATGTATCGCATCGCAGAAGTGTACAGGTCTCGCGGGTTTTAGCGGTAGGTTTTGCACCTAGAAAATTTAGTGTACTTCAGGCTATATCTTCGTCGTCTTAAGCTTTTAAGTGTTGAAGATGCGATCGACTTGTTGGGTAACAAGCCGGCCATGATCGTGTAAAATGGCTTCATCGTAGATCGATTAGTTTCTGAGATATAACCGGGAATGTAAAAGTGCAAAACCTACCGCTTAATCTCGCGAGACCTGTACCAATAGTTCCAGTTTAACATGTTTTTTTTTTTTCAATCGCGACCTGTCATTCAGCCTAACTACACGAACAGTCTGTTTGGGAGACCACGCGCCTCTCAAGTGGAGTGCTGTCCTCCGACTGACCTGTTGGCCTTCCTCTGGTGGGTGAGCGCCGTACACTTGTCCTGCAGCTGCTCCAGCAGCGCGGCGCACAGCGAGCGCAGGTCCGACAGCGTGGCCGGCGTGTCCAACAGCTGGCCGTCGCCCTGCGAGCGCAGCATCTCGGCCACTGGCCGGCGGACCGGTCAGATCGGGGGCGTCAAGTCGGGTGAACTGTCGACTCAGGTCACTGGTCGGTTCACCGGTCAGATCAGAATATAGTCAGGGAATCGATCAGCTCAAGTAGCAAGATGACGAGCACTGACTGGGTGAGAACCCAGAGCACAAAGGGACCCTCAGACCGAAACGTGGCATCATTTACGAGTAGACTAGAGTTAGCGATTCCCACTGGATCTGTATGAACCGTTGGTGCAGTCCACTGGGCGCTGACACCCAATGAGCCGCCCTGTTAGCGGTATCGCCATCACCAGTGTGGGACGCACGTGCCTCTCTCCACATACCGGGCGGTCGGTGTCCCATTATCCACATGCTGCGTCACACTCAGCTGATTTGACCCCTGACCCTGACCCTGGTCCCGGTATGTCCCCGCCTCTCCCAGGTCCGGGTATCGGTGAAACAGTCTCCAAGTCCGGGTACATACATACCCTGGCGCTTCGTGACAATGAGAGCCGAGGAGTCTGAGGAGCCCGGACGCAGAATGCCCTTCTTCTTACGAGCCTCGAGCAGCGACTGTTGGTGAGAGCGGTTCGGGAGGGACGGAGGACGGGGAGGGTCAGGGACAGGCCGACGGGCCGCCACCAGTTCCATTAGTGGACCGGCGCACCGGCTGCCAGCCAGTGGCGGCGCGGTATCAACGGGGGTGCACACAGCACAGTGCCGAGACGGGCCAGTTCAGTCTCACTCACACCGTTAGTTAAGCAAACTGACTAAACACCTTCACCACTAGCACTATCACTACCTGACAACCATCACCACCACCAGCAGGGTTCTCCCCCACCAAGCCGCACCAGTCACAGCCGTCACAAGAGCGACGGTAGCACGGAAGGACAACTACTTAACTGGATACTACGCCCAATGTTCATCCAGTACCCATGGTGGTTTTACATTCACTATTGAGGAGCCGCTCACACAAAAACGACCATGGCGATACAGATTTTCTGCACCCAGGTCCGACTAACCATACCGACTAGTAGTGGCTAGACTATACTAGAACGCTAGTCAGCACACTGTACTATTACCATAGGCGTGTGGATTTTCCAGCGGATTTTTCCGCTTGACACACCACTCCATCTGACCATGGCAGGAGACAGCACGGGTTAATGTGTCAGCATTTAGCATGCAATGGAACGATCTGTCCTATCTAGTCGTCATACTAGGGCAATTTACAGGCTGCCTGAACCAATGTTAGACGATCCCAAGCTAGGAGTTATGACAGGACACATGCCTGGAAGTGCCAGACATTACGCAGTAATGTTAGTACCCATATTTATCGACGCAGTTAATCACAGTAACTTTTTAAACTGGCGGCACCGAAAGCGCTGTACACGGCAGAGCACTCACCTTGTACTTTGAGCAGACCCTCTGTAGCCGCTCCAGCTCGTCCTGAGATGTCGACAGCTGCTCCCGGAGGTACCTGACCAACAGAGGTCAGACACAGTCAGCACAAGTCGCCATCGAGTGAACCAACCCAACATCGGTAAGTGGTAGGCAATATGACAGACAGCCAACAAAGCAAAAATAAAGTAACAACGAGCGACCATTTCATTAGTTGATGACGTACTGTGTCTACAAATCGATAGAAAGCGGAAAATCGGTGCGCAACGGTCTACCGGCACATTCTGCATTATACATATCTGCATTTCCCGCCAAATCGGACCAGTAATTCAACGAGCTCCCAAATACTTCCACGATTACTTCATTAGCGTTACCCCATCGTCCAGTTGCCCGTCAGCCACCCGGCTGACTGCCCACCTGTTCTCTGTGACCAGCGAGTCGACGTCGAGGGCGCTGTCGGCCGGCGCGCGCAGCGCCACCTGCAGCTGGTGGTTCAGCCGGTGCGTCTTGCCCTTGTAAGCGTCCCGCTGGGTGACCAGCTCCTCCTTTTCGTCCAACGTCAGCTCCAGGTCACGGCGCAGTTGGTCACACTGACGGGAGCGAGAGTCATGTCACATTGACGGGCAGTCAGAGTCACCTCGCAGCTGCAGCTGGTCGCGCAGTCAGAGTCAGACTGTCACGCGCTATACACCCACAACTGGTCACACTAACGGGGGTCGGAGTCAGAGTCAAATTGCAGCCGCAGCGTGTCACAGCCACAGGTCACAGTGACGGTGAGTAAGAGTTAGATTATGTTAAACAGCGATAGACCACCGTTGCAGTAATTGGTCGCATTGGCTTGAAGTCGGAGGCAATTCCAACAGGTAGCGCCCGCGGCTGGTTGCACTGCCTCACGAGGAACATGGGACACAGTTCCGTACAACGGTGGAAGCTAGTCGTCCAACAGAGTAAGAATTGGTATTCGCAAGTCAATCAAGTCGGCTGATAAAACCGACCGTAATGACGCTTAGAAACTGTCTCCATTTCACCCACACTCCCCGCGCTATCACAAGCCGCAGCCTGACTCGGTGAGGTCAGGGCAGACCGACCTGGTCCTGGAGCTGCTCCATCTTGTGGACCATGTCCTCGGTGCTCTCCGCTGAGGACTCGGCAGAGTCGGCGCGTACCGGACACCGGCGGCGCACCGCGTCACGGCGCAGCACCTGCCGAGGGCGGCCACCAACGGTCAGTTACACTACCACCGGCGGACACAGAGACATAGTGTAACAGACAGCCCACCGGCGGCGCACCGCGTCACGGCGCAGCACCTGCCGAGAGCGACAGTCACACCACCGCGCCGCCGAGAGGACACAGAGACACAGTGTAACAGACGGCCCACCGCCGGACACAGAGACACAGCGTAACAGACGGCCCACCGCCGGACACAGAGACACAGCGTAACAGGCGGCCCACCGGCGGCGGACCGCGTCACGGCGCAGCACCTGCCGAGAGCGACAGTCACACCACCGCCGAGAGGACACAGAGACACAGCGTAACAGACGGCCCACCAACGGCGGACACAGGGACACAGCGTAACAGGCGGCCCACCGGCGGCGCACCGCGTCACGGCGCAGCACCTGCCGAGAGCGGCCACCAACGGTCAGTTACACTACCACCGGCGGACACAGAGACATAGTGTAACAGACAGCCCACCGGCGGCGCACCGCGTCACGACGCAGCACCTGCCGAGAGCGACAGTCACACCACCGCGCCGCCGAGAGGACACAGACACAGCGTAACAGACAGCCCGCCGGCGGCGCACCGCGTCACGACGCAGCACCTGCTGAGAGCGACAGTCACACCACCGCTGAGAAGACACAGAGACACAGTGTAACAGACGGCCCACCGCCGGACACAGAGACACAGTGTAACAGTCACACCACCGCCGGACACAGAGACACAGTGTAACAGACAGCCCACCGGCGGACACAGAGACACAGTGTAACAGACAGCCCACCACCGGCGGACACAGAGACATAGTGTAACAGTCACACCACCGGCGGACACAGAGACACAGTGTAACAGACGGCCCACCGGCGGTACACCGCGTCACGACGCAGCACCTGCCGAGAGCGGCCACCAACGGTCAGTCACACTACCACCGGCGGACACAGAGACACAGTGTAACAGACGGCCCACCGGCGGCGTACAGCGTCACGGCGCGGCACCTGCAGAGAGCGACAGTTACACCACCACCGAGAGGACACAGAGACACAGTGTAACAGACGGCCCACCAACGGCGGACACAGGGACACAGTGTAACAGACGGCCCACCGGCGGCATACAGCGTCACGGCGCAGCACCTATCGAGAGCGGCCTCCAACGGTCACTGATCAGTCACATATCCACGGTCACATAGGTGCAAGGGACATCACGCCGCTACGGTCAGCGAGACACAACGTAACGTGCAACCTATTCCAGCAGCCATATAATCAGATACACGCGATGCAACACAATCCCAAGCAAGCTGCAGTGGCCATACTAACAGATCCGGCCGTTCATCTGACGTCTAATACAATAAAACGTTATTTTTCGACGAGTTCAGGATCCCACGCCAACACGCTCCTCCTACATTCGAAGGGTCCCTATTAGCTGCACTAGGCGCACGTACCATCATGTCTCCGCAGACCTCCTCCATTTTGACGGTGAGCTCGGTGACGGTGTGCTGCAGCTCGGCGCACTGCTGCCGGGAGAGGGCCAGCTGGTGGCGCAGGCCGGCGTCGGTGGCCACCGCGCTCCAGCTGCTGCCCGCCGCCGCCTGGACACGCCGTCACAGCGGGGTAGTGAGAGCACAGCGGCCGGCAGGGCCGAGTGACACACTGCGGTGGCTCCTGTCACTGTAGTGCTGAAGGCAGCCACAAGTTAGCTCTCATATGTGTAGGGGGGGGGGGGGGGGAGGTTAACATCTCACCTTGTGACTGCCACGGAGCTGCTCCAGCAGCGCACGGAACTGGTCTCGGTCCTGTCGACACTGCTCCAACTCCTTGGCCATAATAGCCAGAGCCTCTGTCTTACTGCCCAGCTTCCGGGACAGGATGCTGACCTGAAGGTGAAATACACAGATAATAGCCCCAATAAGTCCTATCTTGGTTTTAGCTTTATGAAAAGAAAATATTGAACATTTTATATACCTATTCTTGCAAAGATGATATACCTATCACCTATCACTATTAGACAGAGACAGTGACACTTCAAGGGTATTATTCATGTAGACAACAAAGATATGATACAACATTTAAAGTAATTTATGACCAGGCTGCAAAGCATACAATTTTTATGCTTCCTTGTGTTAGCCCAGACTCAACCAGTCTTTGCTGATTTTCTCTGGTGTAGGCTGTAGATCCTACTCCATGGTGCTGTATGGATTTCACATGTTGGCGTGGCTGCTCCATATGGAGCAGCCACGCCAAACAGTGGTAGGTAAGGTGCTGAACTTCAGAGCTGATGCTACACTCAACACTGTCAACACTCAAAAATTAGTATGCTTTTGAGATTTGATTAGGGCTGATAGTGGGAAGCAGAAAAAAATGTTAAGTTGTTCTACTTTTTGTAGAGTAATTGGGCACCAAGTAACTGTTGGAACTGGAAAAGCACTGAATAGCCAAAACTCACAAATATGTATTTTTATGGAATAAATCAGGGCGTTGTTCGGTCCCAGTTGTTTTATCAGCAGGCTGCAAACATGCTGCTATTTCTTGGCTCCTCATCGGTCAAATTCACGTGGTCAATTCATTTGACCAATGATAGGCAAAGAAACGCCAGAAATAACTTCCTTATATGGGGAAACTGACAGTATGCTGATAAAAACAGCGACCGAACAGGGCTCCGGCTCCCGTTGTGATGTGGCTAGGTTTGACCATGGTGTTTGAGACTGAACAATTATCATTGAATACCACTACAAATAGCATTTAAGTAACTGGCATGGACATTACAGCTGAGTGTGAACGTCCAGTGTTTTCTGTATAATTTTGAGGCCTTCTTGTCGCAGGTTTGTGCTGATTTCCAGCCTAGTTTGTGTGCACAGAAGAGTAATAGGTCTGCACCATAACACACAGTACTTGAATGACCCACACCCTCAAATGAAAAACAACAATATTACAAATTTTGTTGAGCTTCGCTCTCTGATCTACGTAAACAGATTTTCTCACTGTCATTGTGGCTTTCCAGCCATGCTTTGCAGTCTAAAAACTGCGGGAATGCTGTCTTAAATTTTCATACCACCAAAAAGACAGAAGCATTAGGCAGGTAGCACTGAAAATGAAACAAAAGTTAGCATTTAGGTAATTACCTACCTCCTTTCATTCCCATCAAAGCGAGAATAAATCAGAGTGCTGCAACATACACTCATGATGTGATAGGTATAAGGTAAGGTAGTTAGGTAAAAGATATGCCTCATGAAATAAAATATGCCAAAATGAAGGATACCTACCTCATTTCGAAGCGAGTCCAAAAGAAGGCTGGTGTCATTCAAGACATCCGCTTGTCTGTTTCCTTTAACTTGTGCTCCACGTCTTGAGCTGTTCAGCATTGCTTTCCAAAGGACCAGCTTATGCAATTAATTAACAATCCCAGGGCAAGCTTTCATAAACAAGCAAACGAGAGCATATGCTGAAATAGCACCAAATTACGAAGCAAAATTGATTTACATCCACACGCCACGACACTGACTATTGCTCTTACTGCGCTATTTACTAAAAGGATATTCATCATTACAACGCTCATCGGCTTTCGCATTTAGGAATGATGAAGCGTTGTCTTTGATTCGACAACGACCGCTCTTTCTGCATGCGCGAGCAAAAACAAAATACAAAGCACTTAAACGTATTTGTTTCTGCTGCGCCATGTACGACTCGAAATTTTGCCCACCACAAAGAAAATCAACAACCAAAACAAAAAATGACGTTGTAACGCACCACTCGGCGGAAATTTCGTTTTTTTATCATTAAGCCAGAGCGTTTGAATGGTTGGATTGACAGAGTCGTTTTGCATGTCATTTCAATTACCAGATATTACGGACATGTGAGTTTTCAAAACTACATTCGAAGGATACCACGCAGCTATCCATCCTGGCATCCCTAATGGCCTGTATCGAGCAGATTCGGTACATTTGCTTGTCACAGTGCACTGAGTGCAGTTAACACATTATCAAATCATCAGACTTTGGCATTACCTACCATATTACCACAGTAATGAAACTGGCCTCCGCAGGGGCTGGGGGTCGCCCGTGCAATCTGCAATCGTCCCCCGTCGGACGGAAGACGTAATGGTGATTGGTGAATGGTGATAGACGTTAGACTGCTCCACCAGCAGACGCTTCCGCCGGACGTATCGATTGAGGTCACGGCTCGCAGAATCTCGCGAGTGGTATCCCTAGCGGCGATAAACTGCAAGCCTTTTGTCGTCATCAACATAAGCCGCAAGTTTTAGCGAATAAATAAATATATACCTGTACCTACGCGCACAGTAGGTAGGTTAACATAAGCCGCAAGTTTTAGCGAATAAATAAATATATACCTGTACCTACGCGCACAGTAGGTAGGTTCTGCACATCAGTGATCAGACAGTGAAAAAACGGACCCCAACACATATTTTATTACCAGACACGATTCCAGACACGTGTCTGGAATCATCAACGTATCTATTACCAGACACGTTGACAGCGAAGAATGACAGGTAGACAGGAGAACGACGAGGCGGCCACTGAGGGCCTGGAAACATGGGAAGCCAGATGCCCCAAATCAGAACAACGCTCCCACGCAGATCCACTCAATACATGCACATCTCCAAGAAGCTTGACACATTACACAAGTCCGGTAAAAATACAGGCGAGCACATATGACATATGTGGAGCATGGAAATGTAGTTGCAAATGCAATTAAATAGAACCCAACACACACATCAACGTCCAGCCAAATAATTACATCTATACGATGGAAGTGCCCAGTGCGGGCTGGGCCGTTCAATCCATAGAACAAACACGCGCACACACTGTCCCGAACTATTGCCAAACACCAGAAAAGCACCACCCCGTCCCCAGTCTCTTCAGCACACTCTCGCCCCACGCCTGTCCCTCTAGCCCACACGACCAGTGTCCCAAAATTATATTTTGGCTTGGGTGTCAGAGGGGAATATTCGTCACTATAAAGAGGGCTGAGAGTGGAAATTGCCAGTTAGAAGAGTACAAAAAAGAGCAAAAAACAGATACCAACAATTAATTTGTGAGTGTTGCAGGATGTGGGAGCTGCCTTAAAAGATCATTGAATCGAATATGGAGGGAGGTACAAAGTGCACGCATATGCTCTTAATTGGTAAACTAGGGAGTGAAAAATCGCTCTGGAAAATTGGAGGTGAGAGTGGAAAATTATTTTGATTTGGATGTTACTTCCCGCCCAAACTGGCAAATTTTGGGACACTGCACACGACTCTGCACAAAAATAGTCGGCGCTGGGCCGCACAGATCTGTCAGTCTCGACACACCGTTCGCCCCGGGAGGGGAGCACGGCAGCACAGTCACGCGGGAGCAGTCGCGACCCTGGTCGGCGATATCAGCACTGCAATATTCTCGGTGTTGACGAAGAGAATCAGCAGTTTGACAGCTAAAACCGTAATCGGAGCCATCGAGAACGGTTTTGGATAGCACTACCGACAAGCGAGACAGGGTCGTGCGAATCTGTCGCATGGCTGGCATAAGACTGCGTTTATAAAACGGGTCCGACTACTTTCCTTCCCACAACTCCATATACACCACAATGAGCCTAGTATAGGCAGTCAGACAGGGCGGTTCAGCAGAACGCTACTCTCACAGTCTTCAACCACTGTCTGAATCCACGCTCCACCGCGGATCTCAGCACGCCATGCTCTGCACTAAGTAGATGGACAATACTTTGATCGTTAGTTCGGCCGTCTGTCAGCGGCTTTCAAATCCATAATTCATTTCTGAATTAACATGTCCGACACCTATTGCGCCATTCACAAGAACAGAAAGAGCTGCGCTCTCAACATAAACAGGTTCATACTTCTAGAAGAACGGGTGACCCTCTCCATTGCACAATGCCTAGCGAGTGAAGGCTGCAGAAACAGTTCGCGGAAGAGAGAGAGCAACACTGAGACACTCCCCAATTGCACGACCCTTCAGCCGATCTAGGCGAGCCAGACTGTCACGGACGCGTCATTCACCGGTCCACGCGTGTTGTGGGACGCCAGCCGATGGGTGGGACTATATGGTACCCTGTACACCGCGGTCGCGCGATCCACACTAAACTACATGGTGGGAGGTGGACATATTGACTGGGCCAATCGACTCGCTCATCACTGACAGTTGTGCTTCTTATGGCTTCGGTTGTAATCACGGTACGTCTTCTCGGCAGGTTGAAGGACATATCCTACCTGGTCATCTACTGGGTGTAGATTGTAGACGTGAGCGGTGTCGGTGGGCGACACGGCTTATATGCTTTTCAACTTGTCTAATCTAAGGGAGGAACACACACCGCTGTTTGGCAAACGCGGGAGTCTGCTGGTCCACAAAAAGAGCGACTGCACAAAAGGGACAGCCAAAAAAGGAAACCGAATGTTTGTTGGTACTGGACATATTTGCTTTAACAGGAAACGCAGCATAAAATATCAGAAACTCCAACGCACAAAAAAGCAAGAGCCGGCTGGGATAAAATTACTTGTCATGGACAACCAGCCAGCACGTGGCATTACTTCACTATCGGTTAATTCGTACCTAGTGTGTCCACCGGCTGCCCCGGGGAGGGCGTTGGGGCAGCGGCGAGGCGGCGACGACCACCTATGAGTCGTCAAAGTACATGCGGCCGGGCCCGTGGTTCTTCATATACCGCCGGTACTGCTTGTGCTGGGCGCTGTTGGCCAGTTTGAGTTTGAGCTCCTCCTCCTGCTGCCGCTTCCATTCGGCGAACTCGTCCTTCTTCCACAGCTCCATCTCTAGGTAGTCCTCTTTGGTGTGCTCCTCCATCGCCTGCGGTCGGGTCAGAGGTCATAGGTCAGGTCCGGTCAGAGCAGGACAGACTACCAATATACCCTGGGATGGCCAGATCCGGCACCGCAATACACAGACCAAACAACGGCAGCGTATACCAGCATGAACCAAAATGGGGAATATTTTTTTCTGGTCCCTAAAAAGCTGTTTCTGGCACCTAATTGCTGATCAGCCCCAAAATGCTTATTCGACCCTAATATCTGAATCTGGCACCTAATTGCTTCCACACAGCCTAAAGTTGCCAGATCGTCTAGTTGAACTCCGTATTTGCTGTTTGCTGATTCAGCACCAAAACCAAAACATCCAGCACCTATTTTATTCCACGTTTGCCTACCTAATTCGCGTAATCTTCCTGATTTTATGTATCCTAACAAACATGAACGTTGCATTCGGTGATGTCAAGTGCCATTTTTGCCAGTGGAGATAATGATTAATGCCATTTCTAGCCAAAAGAGAATCACTAGCCAGCTATGGTGCAGCATAGCAAGACGCTCCTATACCAGCCCGCTATGTAGAGATTATTGCACCCTCAGCCATTTTAACGTGAAAAGTTTGGATCCGTCACTTCCAGCCAGGCTCTCAGGTCATAAACTGGAGTAAAGCAAAATGTCAACTCTGAACAGACATGCCACGCAACCGGCCCTCTTTTCAATATTATTAGCTTTCTGCAATCATCGTCTGACTCCATCTCGATCAAACGCAGCATCCGGTTTCTACAGGGGCGTTTGACTGACCGGCCACACAATAACCAAAAACAAAATCAAAGCTTCATGCACACATAAGTAAGAAACGGATGAAAAAGGCACAACCACGGCACAACTCTGCGCGGCAAACAACGGACAATGTCCCACGCAAGATCCCGCGTTTCTTCAGCGGCCTTGAACGGAATGAAAACATTACATTTCTTTTTTGGAGCTATTTGATGACGTCAAAAAATACAATACCCGTTTTAATGGTCGAAATCGAGACAATTACTCACAAAAATGTTTCCCTTTAAGCATTACAAATAAATACTTTTAAATATTTAAATGACATTGTTTTTTTTTCAAACAAATCAATATTATTTGCTTACTTAAACGTCATATACAATGCTGAGATCACTACGGGGCTGTCTTAGAGTGTAGCTGCACTGGCAACCTTTAGGCTAGACTCCAGGGGTCATTATACCAGAACAACATGATTCTACCAGCCAGTAGTTCATTTTCCTGCTAGATTGGTGCTACGCTCAGCATTTAGGTGCCAGATTCAGAAAAAAGAGTAAGGCAAACTCCCCCCCCCCCCCCTAATTGAAAGTGTTCCGCCGCTACTGGGATGAATAGGTGCCAGAAACAGCTAATTAAGGTCATTTTCCATGATTGGTGCTGGTATCCACCAAATAGGTGCTGAGGACCAATTTTGGGGCGAGTCAGCTTTTAGGTGCCAGAAATAGCTTTTCTGGGACGCAATTAAATGGCGTCCAACCAAAATATGACGAATGTAGCAATTTAAATTGGTTTTACTTGAAGCCGGCATCTATGGCTTAATTCATAAGACATACAAACACATGGTAAAGATGAAGGACTCATAGGCAGGGGAGCGGGGAAGGCACCGGGGCACCGTGCCCTCCCCCCCCCCCTTTGATTTTGGTATTTTAACATTAGCCCTATGAGCGTTGCATGGAAAGAATGGGACCAAAAGTCGGCAGTGCCCCCTCCCCCCCCCCCCTAATTGAAAGTGTTCCGCCGCTACTGGAAGGATTAGATATAAAGGAACAATACACAGGAGTCCCACTCGCCCAACCACCTTAGGCGAAGAGCTGAATGGAATCACAGGTGAACCGCTGCGTGCTAACTCACGTCAAACTGTGTGCGCGAGATGCCCATGTTGCGCCGGATCAGGTAGAGTTTCTCCTCCGTGCCGTACTCGTGCCCGAGCAGGGTGAACTTCCAGAACCAGCGGCCGTACCAGTACACCCAGGTGGCCAGCGTGTAGGGCAGCAGCACCAGCTGCACCCACAGCACGTCCGTCCACTCCGGCTTGGCGTAGCCGCCCCTGGCGCACGGCAAACCGGGACGCCGAGTCAGCCCAGTCCGAGCACAGACTGCTGCCGTTTCAGGCTGATCATCTGCAAGACTGTCTGGACCAGGTTCAAGTCTACTGATACGCACACAAAAAGAATCACAACATTTTTCCTTTCTGTCAAACGACACAATCCGAATAACATTCGAAGGATAGGTACTTAGATCCATACCATTTGAATGGCATGCATTACACGTGAAATGCACGTTTAATCTCATAATCTCATCACCAGTTTGTCTGATCATTGCGGTGACGTCAGTAAGCCCCACCGGCACTTTTCGACCCGTTTCCGGATATCCGCATTTCCACCAGACCGTCGCGTCACGCTCACAGTGCGTCGTGTTTTCCCGCACTGCGGGTCAGCGAACGGTGACCGGCCGTGAGCGACGACCGGCGCCCACCCGTGTCCCCATCACGACCGGAGGCCTATCTTCGCCTACTTCACGCGCAAAGCCCCTCAGAGAAGCAGTTGAGGCTGGTCCGCGTACTGCCGTCATCTCGGTGACGCCGCCAGTGACCAGTGGCGTCCTCACCCCGGGAACAACGGCCGTCTGACGGACCTGCCGCTGTGCAGCAGGTGACGTCACTGGTGACAGCGGACCGCGACCGGTCCGGGGCCGGTCCGGGAACCACTGCCGCCGGCACGACTACACACAGAGCGCACGCGCAGCTGCACTTGGGAGATCCCTGAACACGGTCAGCTAGAGCTCGTGTGTTTCGGCAGGATTCATTGCCAGAAGAATTGTCACTTGTGCCGTGGAACACTACAGATCTTAAATCGATCGCCCGCCCAAGAGACCGAGGCCCAGATAATTCAGCGGGAGGGAGTTGTCAGGGAGGGTCCCATATGGCGTGTTCGTCGACAATTGACTAAGCATCGGATGAAGAACTAAGATCCTACATCTCCAGAATGAAGCCTAGCTTGATCATAGAACGATGTTTTCGTCCAAGTATATTCAGTGTGCCATTCTTTTTGTTCGGTAGTTTACTAAGAAGCTACTTGAGTTTTTCTCTAGTTCCGGATACATCACAGCCTGTGTGTGTCCCTTCCATCTTGGCGAGAGAGGGAGCCCGGCGCGAGCTGCGACTCACGGGCGTGATCGGCAGTGTGGACGGAGCCACGACGGCAGGGGAGGGGGGGGGGGGGGGTTCGGACCGAGCCGACCCGGCCGAACACCGCCGGCCGCTCTGACAGATGATCGACGTCCGCCCCCGCTTCCCCCCCCCCAGTCCCCCCGGTCGGTGACGGAGCGCCACGCGGCCGGCCGTAACGGCCACATGGCGTGAGTTGGACAACGGACGGCCGCGTCCGACAGAGTTGGTCGGCGCCGGCCCGGCGTCCGACCGCGCTAACTGACGGTGATTCGGGTCCACAATACTGCAGTAAAAAACCTGGGCCGAGGGTAACCACGCGACACGGCCCGCGTGCACCGTGCACCACAATATCACTCCTACCGACAGATTATCAAAATACTCCGCTAAGCACAATGGCGGTCCCAGGGGGGGGGGCCACGGGGGCCATGGCCCCCCCTTTGGTGCTGAAAGGTGGGGCCATACTATCTTTTGGCCCCACCTTTCAGATCGACCAAAAGTCCTAGAAAAGCTTTTCGTATGTTTCATTTTCTTTCTTGCGCCATCGAAGGACGTAAATTTCACTCATGAGTGGGCTCAGTTTCGCATTCTGTCAATTTGGTGGTCAGCGTCGCTGGCACCGGTTCACGAGTATGGCCGGATCTTATATGGAATATCAGCGTGGGTTTACTTGAGGCTCTCGTAGGCCCAGCAATGGCTGGCATGAGACCCTCTTCGGCAGTGGTGGGTGGGCCCTGCTAAAGGAGATTGGCTCTAAGACACTAAAGTAAGACCTCATGGGTTGGTGCTGTGCACCTTAGAAGCCCGGTGGTGACGCCGTATGCCGGCTTGGTTTCTTAAGGATTAGCGTGGGAACTCCGGGGCCTGCATAGAGTTTTTATGAGCTAGTATGTAATCTCAGAGGCATGTGTGTAATGTGTACACAACTACACAGTGGCGGTCGCGGGGGGGGGGGGGCATCAGGGCCATGCCCCCCCAAAGGTCAATAAAGGGGGCCATCGCCCATCATATCATTTGCCCCCCCCCCCCCCTCAAACAACCAATGGGCCCCCATATAGGTGTATGGGGCCCTGGCAATTATTCGATCGTCACGAGGCTAAAAAAAAAAAAAAAAACACGCCCAGCTATTAATATAGCTCCCACACCGGTCTTTGAGCGTCCTACACTGACCTCTGAGGGAACTTCAGTGGCGGTCAAGTGCCCACGTTGACCGCTAAGAGCCTACATCAACCTCTGAGACCCCACATCTGGCCTATGAGGGCCCCTAACCGGCCTCAGGGGTCCCAACCGGCGTCTGAGGGTCTCACACCGGTCTCTGGTGGCCTTATTTCTGTCTGTGGTGTCCCAAGACGAACCTTAAGGTGCCAATGAGGGCCCCGCACTGGCTGCTGAAGACCCGATGCCGGCCTCTAAGGGCCTGCATTGGCATTTGAGGAGGGCCCATCTTGGCCTTTGAGGGCCCTCTGCTGTCCTCTGGGGTCCAACGACGGCTCATGCCGGTCTTTTATGGCCCCACGCTGACCTCTGAGGGCCCATGTTGGCCTGTAATAACCCACATTAGCCTCTGAGAGCCCAACTCGGTCACTGATTGTCTCAAACTACTGGTCTTTGTAGTTTGCAGGCCCTGTACTGGTCTCTGAGGTCCCTAAACTGGCCTCTACGTGAAAACATACATGGGTGGGTTTCTGAAGATCAGAGGGCTCACGCAGTCTCCGGCACAGCCTTACGTTGGTCCTGATCGAGATTACTTTGCGTCCTGATGGTCCGGCGCAGATTCCCTCATATTTCGACGTCGGGACCCCATGAGCCGGTGTGGGTCCTGGGGCTGGCAGAGACTGATGAAGTCCTTAGGGCTCAGGGCCAGTCTTTTTAGCAGTAAGACTAGGCAGGTTGAGTGAGCCCCAATAGAGCCGCTGCGAAGCCCCGCAGGAGTCGCGCGCGGCCCTCAGATGCCAATTTTGAAAGCTCGGAACCTGTGGGGGGTCTCCAGAGGTCGGTGTACCTACTCTCTCCCGCCGCCACACAACTAGGTATGTTACCTATATGGGTAAATGTCATAGTCTGAAAATGCTCTCTGGGTTTCACATGCTTGTTCAAAGCAAGAGGTATCTGTACTTTTCCGAATTGTTTTATAGTGGTAAGGTCATGAATCCGCGTGCCTGACCTTCCAGTATACCTATGCTACACCGATCCGTCGTCATGGTGCAGTGGGCCGACCGGTGGAAGCACCGTGGGACGGGAAATGGAACTGGTGATTTTAGGGTGAATAGGTCAAAAACGCCCCCATTAAGCGCGAAACCTTCTGACACTCAACCCAACCCAGATTACTCAAACCTTTGGGCACTATCATGTAGCTCATTCTTTTTACTACGCTTTGAGACCAAGAAAAGACACTTCCGTGTGGTATTTAACCCCCCAAAAAGGTTTCCGCATACCCTTACAAAAGGGTGTTTTGCCCCACACCCTGGGTAATACGCCCACACCCATGTGCAAAGCGCCCCCACCCCATCCATCAACAGAAAATGATGGACATGGCAGAACTTGACGTCATTCTGACGTCATTTATGGTCAACCTATCAAAGCCTTTGGAATAAAATGTTGTTGCAATGTGTAAAATGGATGCCCGGAGGAGTCCTGAACGTTTGGTGACGATATCTGCAGTCGTTTAGGATATATCAGGAAAAAAGGACAGGGAGAGGCCTTTTCGGCCCCGACCTACACGGCGCTACCCTACACTCTCACCACCGTGCAAAACGCCCCCCTTTCAGAAAACTGGGGGCGTCTTGCCCCATGCATCGAGTAGGCGTCTTTCCCCATCCACTCTATTTCCGGTCAACAAAATATTGACAAAAAACGCGCCACTAACGCCGCAGCATAATAAATTCAACAGAATGACAATAAAACGCAGTTTTGAGTGATGTGCACAATAGCAAGTTTTGTGATATACCTAAAGAGGGCATCAAAAGCTTAGGAATCTTCTGTAAAAACAACAAAAACAGCACCCAAAACCAACATCAGCACCTACCCACGCCGCTCCTCAAGACGCAGAACCGGAAATAGAGAACTACGTAAACAAGCAGCTGACTGTTTTGAAAGCCAGGATAAAACACCTATCCGTCGATAAGATCTACGATTTTTTTAGGGGAGGCGTTTAACCCAGGGGTGCGTTTTCCCCACACTTACCCTACCTTAAATTGAGCTTAAAAATTTCACGCAAGAATCAGATGGATGAAGCATAAGTAATGCCAACTGCGCGGCACCTCGTGGACGTAAAAAATTAGCCGATCACCCCACCCCCCCCCCCCTCCCGGTGACGGATAAATGTTATGTCCCGCGAGTGTGACTTTGGCCCCCCCTTTTGCTAGCGGCTGCGACCGCCAGTGGCTAAGCACGCGTCACTTGAAGTTCCGATAACCATCTAGCGATAATCCATCAGCCCAATAACGGTTTTAACGCAGAGCATATACGGGCGATGATGGATCAGTCGTCACTCGCTAAGTCTGAACAGATCCCCATGCGGACGCCTGCCTGACAGTCCGTCGACCGAGTCGGAGGCCAGAGCGCACCCGATCTACCGTAAATGTCACCTCACATTAGTGTCAGTAGCCAATGAAACTATAGTCGTGGCGCGATACGAGGTCCGGATACGGATATAACACGCTCACCGCGTGACCTACAAAATAACTACTGAAGAACGTGTGATCCACATTCTTATTCGACTAGGATCTAAAAAAAGCCATTGTACGACAACGCAAGAATTCCATCCGTAACTTGCCTGCCAATCGCCATCATCACAATGCCGTACCGCCAACATCGCATCGTTCGCCGAAGGCCGGCACTCACCGGATATCCATTCTGTCCCGGACAATCTCTCGGAGGATCTTTTCCTCCTCCTGGCGCGCGTCGTCCTTGCTCATCTTCTTGTTCCTCTTCAAGTGGTCGAGCAGCTTCTCCTCTTTGGCGATCTGCTGCGCGCGCAGCCGGTACTTGGGCACGGTGACCAGGTACCGGATGGCAGAGTCGTACCTGCGGGCACGCCCCGTCATTTCACCGGAGGCGTCCTACCGGTCATCATCCTCCGCCACACCGATCGCAGCAGTCATAATGGGATGGACTCTCACGGAAATATAGTAGCCTAGCGATAACATAAAGCAGCTAAAAAAGAGGAAAGGGAAAATGCGATAGTCTGCAAATGGTCTAGATAAAATGAAACAAAACAGAAAATTCCCGGAGAGTAAAGTAAAGAAGCACACTACGAGTGCTGACGAGGGCGGCGATTCAGAGCCGTGCTGAGCGATTTGGTGGTGCCGTCGTCCACTCACCGGGTCCAGGAGGTGAAGTACTGGATGCCGGATATGATGGAGATGGTGACGGCCAGCACAATACGAATGTCCACCCGCGGGGCCATCCGGCGCCGGTAGTAGCGGTAGTAGTGACTGTAGAACTCGTCCGGATTGTCCAGCATGTAGTCATAGTCGGTGCGGGACTCGTCATCCTTGAGAATCTCGTATCTGAAACGGACAGGGTTGTTCAGGCATAAAAATCAAGCATGGTTATCAAGCTCCAAAAAGACATACACATTGCACAAAGCACATATTTTATTAGCACAAATTGTCAAAGTTCAAGGAAAACACTGATGTTGTCACTTACGCTGTAGCTATCTCTCTGAACTTCTCTGCAGCTTTTTCCTTTTCTTCGTCCGTTTTGAACAAATCTGGATGAGTTTTTCTCGCCAACTGACGATACTTGGACGCTATTTCCCTCTTTGGTGTATCTCTTGTAACACCCAAGACTGAAACACATGGCTATCCATGTCAAAACACTCACCAGTGAATTAAGATCAAACATGCAATATAGATATCATTTTATGAAAACAGCAAGGCAATTAAAATGGTTGCTTCTAGGAGGGCAAGAGTCGATATGCTAGTGATCAAAGTTGAATGGCATTTCTGTGTAAATCAAAGTGATAATTTATTTTTAAAAAAAAAACTATCAAAAATTAATAATTTAAACAAATTTAAACTAATGACAGCAAATAGCAATTGCTACAGTATCTATCATTCCCACCAACAACTCACCATCATAACAGTTGTTCATGCCACAATAAAGTCCATCAATGAAAGTCCATGCTGGCTGAATAAACAAAGCAAGAAGCAAGCCTAAGGTGATAAGTTTGAAAAGCATCATGGTTTTTACTTCGTCCTAGTAAACCTGCAAACAAAGATGATATGTAAGAACAGCAACCAATGATGAAAATCAATGATGTCAGAATATATTGGCAGCACTAACCAGCCTAACACTCACTTAGCTGCCTACGCTACCAGTCCACACCAGTAAGTAAATACCAGTAAGACACCTTTTACGTGACAAAAAAATGAGATATAGACTTCTGAGCCCTATCTGAGTGTGAGCATTAGGCAATATGCAAAAGTACAACTGGCCCAATCATCCATTTTTATGCATCTTCTCTCAATTTGAACTATCCTTTTCATGGGTATTTATAATTCAGATGTCATGAATGGTAGGTACATGTTCACCATGGTTAAGGTTGCATAGCCATGGTCTACTCTACATTAACCCGCGCCCCGTAGGGCTATCGGCGGACCCTACCACCCGTCGGGGGGGGGGGCGTTTCGCCCCCCCTTAGATCTCGGAAATTTACCGGCAGATTTTTAAAATTCAAACGGCGTTCGATAGCCCCACCGAAGAACTACCTTGTGACCAAATTTCAATGACCTAGGTCAAACCAGTGACGTCACAGGTCAGGTCAAAGGTCGGGTCAAAGGTCAAAGGTTTTCACTGTTCACAGGCATTTCGAGAAATGTGTTGTGAAATCGAGTAAATTGGTAAGTTATTGAAAACCATCGATGGTACATTGTTAGTCAAACACATACTTTGCTATCTGAGGTCACTGATACCAGGTCAGGTCACAGAGGTCAGGTCACTTGGGGTCACAATATGAAAGTGTCAGGTGATGCATGTTATATGGTCCATTTTACATGACAAATGCGATTATGTGGGTCAGGCAGCCTTTGGGGCCAGCTTAGGTCACGTTTTGGTGAAGGTCAGGTCAAGGTCAGGACTCAGGTCAAATTAGGTCAAATTTCAAAATTGATATTTTTGCATAAAATGGGTATCCATTCGATGCAGCTTGTCACGGGGAGTCTAATGGTGGTCTTTGTTTTGCCCTACGTGATCTAGAATTGCCAAAAATTGAGTTTGAAAATTTTACGTCCTCATTTTTGAAGTTTTTTCGCTATAACTTGGCCAAAAAACGAGATATCGATCTGAAATTTGGTAAGTAGAAAGAAGACGGTTGGTACTATCACATATATTCCGTTTTTTGAAACTCGAAAAACTTTTTGGATTTTTTGGCAAATATATCCAAAAAATGATTTTTTGATTTTGGGGGGTCAAAAATCAAAAATTTCAAAAATCCGAGATAGCGGCTTTGTAGAGGCACTTTTCATTAATCTTAACAATTCTACCTACGGGCTACAAACCACTCACCACTCACCAGTTAATCCTGACCCGTTCATAAAGAAATAAAATAGGCAAAAATAAAATAGGTCATCATACGTTTAGATAAATCCATAATGCAGTACCTTGTCCACAGGCTGACTAAAAATTAAATGGCAACAGCCAACAGATTAAGACCTAAACACTTCATTCAAAACCAAGTCCTATTTCTATGACCAATCCAATCCCAAACACATTACTCAATATGTGAAAAAGCATTATCCAGTATTATAAAAATTAACAGCACTAGTCAGAAAACATGACACAGAAAAAAAAACTTGAGTAGGTACTATGTCAGCATCTGTCACAACGAAACAACAGAGTGAGAGAGAAACGCAGACACACAACCCACACAACTAAACACCCGAGACCCCGAGACATTCTCAAGGATGAAAAAAATGTACACGTGGAATTTTGAGCTATTGTGTATGACGTCACCAAAAAAGTGGAAGGCAAGTGAACGTTAACAGAAGGAAACAGTATAAAATTTACAACGATCATTTTTTATTTCATTTTGAAGCATATTTGCTGGTAATGTAGGTTTTATCTGATAACCCTCAATTGCGTGGAATTGATCATAGCTGATTGCTGAATCAAAATGGGGAAACATTGCAAATGTTATGAGAATGATGTCATAGGACAAAAATACAACTTGTTCACTTGCGATGAATCTAGCGCAGCCGGCGTTTTTAATTGTATCTGTTGAAATGTGTGGATTTGGTGTATGTCCCTCAAACTCAAGGCGATAGTTACGTACTATTGCCTTGGTAGTCCAGGGATGCGGAGCCGTGGAAATTTCAGACGGCTCCGGCTCCGGCTCCGGCTCCGGAGAAAAAAATCGGCTCCAGCTCCGGCTCCGGCTCCGGGTGAAATGTTATGGCGGCTCCGGCTCCGGCTCCGGCTCCGAGTAAAATGGTCCGGCTCCGGCGGCTCCGGCTCCGGCGGCTCCGGCTCCGACTCAGTACATCCCCTATGCAATCAATTAAATACGGATGGAAGAAAAATTGGATTGGTTATACGCGTTACTCTTTGCCATGACCGGCTCACCGCGTCCCCGCGCAAACGCACCTCGGAGAGAACCGGCAGAACAAAGGGCTAGGAAGCGATGGCATTGGAAACGCAGTCGCCGCGAATCGGAGTTCAGTGAACCATCGTAAGCTGACACCCGTCTCGGCTGCATTGGGGGGTGAGGGGTGGGGGGTGTGTGGGATGAGACGGTGCTGGGAGTCGCAGTCCACTGCACTGGTTTGAAAACAATGGCCGTCACCTGATGACTGGTCCTCATGTTCTGGGGATGCAGTAGACGTGGGGGGGGGGGGGAAGAGCAAACAGGAAGTTGTTTGCGTACTGTGGAATACTGGGGATATTCGGATTTTTTCATTCACTTGATGGCCCATGACGTAAGTACCATATATTTTACTGCCTTGTACTGTCAAACCGAACTAGGTCAATTATTTTTTTCCTCTTCAAAAAATAAAAAGGAGCCGGAGTCGCCCCCTTTTTTGGCGGCTCCGGCTCCGGCTCCGGCTCCGGGCTATATTGTTTCACGGCTCCGGCTCCGGCTCCGGCTCCGGGCAAAATATGCCGGCTCCGGCGGCTCCGGCTCCGACTCCGGCTCCGGCTCCGCATCCCTGCTTGGTACCTATATACCAGAGTATATCAATCATTATTGGGTTACTCTTTAACTATTACAACTAAAGAGACCCTCCCACCTTCAAAAAAGTGAATGAATTGGCATGAAAGTGATGTCGCTCAGAGAAAGAGCAAAGACGAATATCTACCAAATTTCACTGAAAAAATATTCACAGGTTTTCAAGATATTACTTTTACTTTTGTTTACTTTTTGGGATCTCTGCTGTTCCTAGCGACTATTCGGATGCAATAGTTTGACAGCTAAATGAAAGAGGGGCATTTTCTCGCGCTTGAAGGTTGGTGCGGTTGGTGTTGTTCGCCCTCTGTTTTTATATCAGTGTGCTGTCAGTTTTCCCCATATAAGGAAGTAATTGCTGGTGCTTCTTGGCCTCTCATTGGTCTAACAAATAGACCACTTGAATTCAACTAATGAGGAGCCAAGAAGTAGCAGCATGTTCGCAGCCTGCTGATTACGAGCGAGCGAGCGCAGCGAGCGAAGTGAGTCTTTTCAATATAACGGAAAAATCTCAGTATGAGCGGCCCGGCCCGGCCCGGCCCGGCCCGGCCTGTAACACTTTTGAGAGGCTTATATCTCAGCAACCGCTGGACCGATTGGCCTGCGGTCTTTTTTGTTCGGTAGCCCAATCCCTTCTACCCCGTAATTGACTACTTTTGATACATCTCAGTGACCGTCGTGGCACGTGCCACGTGAAAAGTCAAGGGTGTTCAAGCTGTTTTGAAAAAGTAGTGATTTTGAGAAGCTCATATCTCAGCAGCCGCTTGGGCGATTGACTTCCGGTAATTTTTGTAGGGTAGCAGCATCCTTTCTACCCAAAATAGGATACTCTCGATGCATGTGGGTCACCCCCAGTGCACGTGCAAAATACAACAATAAGAGGTGCCAAATTTGTTCCCATTTCAGTAACTCGGTAATTACTGGGGCGATTTCGCTGAAACTTTGCATACAGGTAGGCACCCACCACTCACCAGGCAATGTATTCCCATGTGTTGCGGTTAGGGTGCTACTGCACGTGCGCACGTGCAGGGGGCGTTTCCAGATCTCGAGAATGGCTGGGCCGATTGCGCTCAAATTTGGTACACGGTTGGGGACCAGTTAGTAGGGTGCCGTGCAATAGTCATTTTGGACCCCGTTTGCACGTGCGCACGTGCAGAATGCCGCTTCCAGATCTCAGGAACGGCTGGGCCGATTGCGTTCAAATTTGGCACACCGCTAGCGACCGGTTAGAAGGGTGCTTTGCACAAGCCCGTTGGAAGTACCCTCTCGCCCTTCCGCACGTGCAGGGCTCACTATCTCGCTCGCTCGTTCTTCGCCCAAAAGGCGTTTTACTGGTAAATTAACAAGGGCAAACAGAGCTCAGCATAGGCCACCGCATGCTACCAAACATTTTAGTAAAAGATTTGAGATTATTGGATCTGTGCTGACATCACACTTTCAGAGGGGGCATTCAAATGCATTAGCCCCTCTGGATCCAAAGTGCTGCAGCTTTGAAATTAGGTGTTTTCTTTTCAAGGCATTTCTTGATGTTGTGAGTGCTCAAACCAATAAGTGCAAGCCAGGGACCCCATTTTGGCTATCTCAATTCTCAACTCATAACTAATGGTCACTAACAACGCATAACAACGCATGCTAACTAATGGGATGGTCACTTAAACCACATGACTGCATATGTCCAGCACACAATGTAGGTACCTCTAAAAAATTAATGAAAGCCAATAGGTGCATGGCAGGTCCTATGCTCTCTTGCCTGCTTTTTTTTATTTTGCCTGAATATTCAGACAAAAGCCTTGATAGCAGTGCTTGTTGTAAATTATGAAATGATGCTACTAACTGATCATTTCAAGGGGTGTGTATCATATATTCCTTATGGTCCACCTCTCATGAGGCCATGCATTTGTTTTCTCAGATAATATAGAACAAAACATAATCTAACCTGACCTTACCTTACCTGCAACCTACAGCCTAAAAAAATTCTACTGTGTAATATGTATGGCAAATATGAACTGGGGAACATATGATTTATGAATGCCCGCGCCCCCCCCCCCCATTTCAACCTGTGTGAATTATGTGCACCTGATTCACAGGTGATAATTTGAATGAAAAGGGTAATGCATTGCAGTTAGGTGGTGGCACAGTTCTTCTGGGTCTAGCATGGCCCTCTCTCACCAGTTGCCCGCTAGTTCACTTCAATATACATAGTATAGGAGGTCATACAATGTGGGGCAAAATTTTTATGCTTTGCATCCTGGAGTGCAGATCTGGGATCAGTGACATGCATTTTCTCAGTTCTTAATTCTTATTGCTGTCAGATCTGGAAATATATGTTTTTGTACCTTAGTGTTGCTTACTCCAGTCCAGGTTAGTGCCCATACTGCTATGTCATGGTTTCAAACTGACCTTGTCAGCCAGCATCCTTTAATCCCCATGATTATATCCCCAGGATGTTCTTCAGTAAGCATATGCCTTTCTTTTCAGTGTGAAAGCTGGGAAAATTGGTTCTTAAAAATAATTTATGTGAGCCTAATACAAATATAATGTCTTCGAAAGATCCAGCAAAGAAGACCAAGAGGCCAGACATGGCCATCTACATGCCACGAGGCCGCCGGTCTCAGGAGGAAGCAAAACGGTCGCCGGAAGTTGAGGCTCCACCTCAGCCAGTTGCCAGGAAAGACCCGCCCCCACCACAGCGCCGCGTTCCAGCTCACGGCGAGCGCGGGGACACAAGGCAGCGTGGAGGCTCCACCAGCGAGTCTGACACAGGCAAACAACGAACGTCCGTAGGAACTTCTAAAGGTCGTCGGGAACAAACGGAGTCGGAAAGCAGCAAACACCGGCGCTCCAGGGACACGACCGAGAAAGGCCAGGGTTATTCATCAGACGATGCTCAGCATCGAACCACGATGGTTTTCACACGTAGTAAGCCGGGGCACTTTGAAGAGCCTCGTCAGCGTCGGCCGCACAGAGCGGCGGCAGAGAGGAGTCGACGCTTCGCGGAGGGGTCGGACCGCGCCGCAGAGCCACCAAGTAAAGGTGGTGTCAGTGTCACGACATCGTCTGCCAGTATCAACGATCACCGGGCCAACGAGTCGGCCGGAACGGAAATGGCGAAGAGCTTCCCAGAAGCGGCGAGGAGGAAGTCTGAAGAATCTGGCGTGCACGCTATTGGTACACCGACCTCCGAAGAGCATCCGGTAGATCTGACCCCGCAGCCAGTAGATCTCTCATTGAAGCCAACTAAGGAAGGCGTGCACAAGAGCGCCAGGTCGTCAGCAGACGACGCGGCGCGGACCCGTGAGCCATCGCCTGGTACCCGGCGGCGACCGCGCGGCGCCGTGGGCGTGTACGTGCCTCGCGCGGCGCGACGACACTCCGACAGCACTGGAGAGCCGGTGAGGCCGCCGGACGATCCCCCGCAGCCGGGCGCCGCCGGCCGGGACCGTGGAGATGCAGCGGTGGCGCGGCAGAGTGGAGCTGAGTCGGCGGCCAGCTGCGGTCGGTCGGACGGCGGTCGGCGTCATGACAGTGACAGGTCGGAGGGCATT